TATATATACGTATGACGTGTATGTGTGGAATATGTGAATATAGATATTATGCACATACATAAACATACGTATATATTCGTAACTTATTTGGAACTAAGTTGATGTGCAACTTTGTACAAAACGCCAAATAAAATATGTCTGTCTCTCTGTCTGTCATCCCCATCTTTCTACATATGGCAATTAATGGCAATAGCAATTTAAAAAGGTGTGACGTCACTCTATAAATTTCTGCTTTTATTTTGTTACATTGTCACAGATCATTCCTTGATGAAAAAATCTGGGACATTTCGTAATGTTTTCAATTTGACAATCAAGCTTCTACGTTATGCTCTGAACTATTACGAAGCAGAGCGAGCTTGTGCTATTTTCGGTGCTCAGATSTCAAGCTTGACGCAGTTGGATGATGCCTGGAAAGCTGGTTTTGATTCCTGCAGGTGAAAAAAAAAAAAGTTTTCAAAACAAAAAACAATTTTCGGCCTGCAATGCATCCATTTTATTAAAGTATTGCATTTTATTTCGTTATGCAGGTACGGTTGGTTGGTAGATGGCACTGTAAGATTCCCCATTATATATCCGCGACAAGGATGCTCCTCATCTCCACCCAGTATTCGGGGAAGTACCACCCCGCAAGATAAATGGAACTCAAGGCATGATGTGTACTGTTACAGAGAAACAGGYAGGTTTCAAAGGTTCYAAAGGTTTTTATTTTTCCACACACAAAAAGCAAAGAATTACAAATAGAACTTAAGAAAGAAGTGGAAAGGTGCAGGAGGAACAACCCAAAAGGGGTTAACTAAGAAAGATCCTGCACAAATGTAAACAATTTTAAAGAAATAGTGAATGGCGGAATATTATACTTACAATAAAATAGTAAAATAGAAATCAAGCATTTTTAAGGTGAAAACAGTTACGGTAAAGATTTACATCTACGAGTTAAATATAAGAACTTGTAGTTTACTGAGATATGAGGTATTTTTTGAAATTTGTACGGAAACTTTTAAGCGATAAACTATTTTTGATTTCAAGAGGAACTTCGTTCCAGTTTGCAACGGCTGCGTACTTTACACCAAACTGGCCATAATTTAAGTTTTGGTGAGGCAAATATAAATTCCTTTTCGTTTTAGAGCGCGTGTTGTAATCATGAATTAAATGAATTAAATTAAGAGACAACAAGCTTTGAATATTTACGATATCAAAGAGGATATTGGTAGCRAACTCATACCATGAAAATGAAGTTCAAATTTGATAAAGTAATTGGTGTTGTGTACTTAGGCTGCGCTCATGGTGTATGGC